CCTGCCTCCGCCAGTGCCGCGGGGCGGCCCCGTGCCGTGCGGGCAGCGCCCCCCTCACCCCGCACCGCGCCCTCACACCGCGCACCGCGATCCGCGCCCCGCGCCGCTTCTCGCACCGCGCTCCGCAGCGCACCGCGACGCGTGCTGACACTGCGGCGGGAGGGTCGAGCGCACGACCCCGCCTCGTTCGCCAAACGACAGCGGCAGGGCCGTGGCACCTGCTGACAATGCACCGCGGAAAACGCCGAGAGGAGGGATAAGCCCTCCCGCGTGCTTGTGCGGATCAGGGCAGGCCAACTGCTGTGTTGGTTGGAATGACCCTCTGAGCAGACGGAAGTTGTCCTTTGGGGAAAACTGGCTTCTTTTTAAGAGGGTCCTGATAGAGGAAAGCTGTCAATAACTTTGGTTTATAGGCCCACTTGAGCTAGATGAGGGTCAAAAAAATTCCACAGACTATGTGTGCTTGCTGAGGAGATGGCAAATGGTGACATAGCTTGCAGTGGGAAGTAAACTTCAAAACATATCCACTATTAGCAAGTACCTTATTCATAGCAGAATTCTGCAATGAAGTGTGAAATACCTTTGGACTTAAAACAGTGCCTTAAGACACACTTTTGCTATTGGTATATACTTGTGTGCTACCTAAAAAAGGTCTTAGAATGTTGAATCACATTGTTTAAACATGGTAAGGGTAATGTTATAATCTGCATTTTCTTATAATTCCTCACTAGCCTTTACTAGATAGATATTTCTTCCTTAGAACTGTATCGTGCTTTATCTTTTATTCTAAAGAAAGAACAGTCTGTGTTTAAAATTTGATAGGAAATTTCATGTTTTGCAATATCAAGGTAAAGTTTTACTCATTCAGAGTGATAATTTCCCATTATTATTCCCAGAATATTCCATATTCCCAGTTTTACTTAAAAACATCCAACATAGAAGGGAGTGAAACTGTCTCAGTCTTCTGCAGTGAAAAGTTTAGACTTCATTCCAGGACTGCAGAGTTTTGTCAGTGAGCACTGATGCATCTATGTCTCTGTGCGTGTCTGTTCATATGTCTGCATGTAATGGTGTCCGTAACCTATAGGTCTGCATATGTATGTGTGTTTATGTATATGGTGTATATGTGCATACATCCTGGGGAACAAATAAATAAATATGTCGGCTTTTAATGGTTTTTAAGAGATGAGGCAAAATTCCCTTGATAGTGAGCTTTGATAGATTGTGGTTCCCAGGACAGGAGTGTAAACTTGCCTGCTGTTCCACCTGCTTAAACAATGCTGAAAGTCTTGCATTCTGTTCCCAGCTCTTCCCTTGTTGTCTTGGACAAGCCAGTTCGCTGTTCTGTTCATGGCAATGGAAAGCTTAATTACTTAATGCTTATTAAAGTACTTAGATCTTCAGATGAAAGGTGCCATAAAAATGCAAACTATGATTATATACTTTGTGTGTGTACCTAGTAGCTATGGAGTCTATAATAATGTAACACCTAACTTTCGCTGTACTTTGCTTAACCTGCTGGCACAAGTTGTTAATGAGATATTGACAGATATGACATTAAAACAACACGGTGTTTTGGAACATAAACAAAAGGGGTTTGGTTTTTTCTTAATTGCTCACCTACATGAAAGTTAAAATGTCTTGTTACCTGTATTTGTCAATATTAAAACATCCAAGGCATGTTTTAACAGAAAGAGAAAAGCTCTGTTTTCCTGGTTCTTCCTAGCAAGTACTTTTAACCTACTTTGATTCTGGAATCAGACACTTAAGGGCGTTTTGAATCTTATCCATTATATTTGAGACAGAAGAGCCATACAAGCAGAAGCAGAACCAAATGTGCTGGATTTTTTTCAAATGAGAGCTACTGACATTACATAGCAGGAATAATAACCAACATGACCTGATGTTTAACTAATTTATAATGCAGCATCATTGGCTCATTTTAAAGCATTAAAAAAAAATCTTTTTGTTGGATGTGTATAAACCTGGATTAATTCCAGGAAACTGAACATTCACATTCCATGGCAATATTCACTATTTACACCATAGAAAGGCAGCAAAATATGGCTAAGCATGTTTTATTCAAGTAGGTAGCATTTTATACCAGATAATTCTGCCACAATGCAGTATATACTCTACACAGTTCTCCAACTGGATTAAAAATAATAGTTTTAAAATGTCTGTCTCATGTTTCAAAAATAAAAATATTGCCTTCAATATTAAACCCTAAAACGGTTCTGTCCAGTCATCCATTTTACTCTGTTGTTTAAAATCAGTTGTTTTTTACTGTAAAAATTTTAGTGTCATCTTCTCACGTCATTAAAGCAAAGAACCGAATCCTAAACTGTCTAGGTACTGAAAATTCACATTGAAAGCAGTTGGAACTTTGAGTAAAAAAACAGAGCTCTTGGGCCCAAAATGTAAGTTAAATATACTGAAAGGGTTTCAGATGTAGCATCCATTCTTTAGCAAAACTACGTATTGTATCATGTTCTGTTTAATGCACTGTTATTTTTTTTCTTTCACTGTCTACAGTACTATTCACAAGCAATGTTTTTTAATTTTGTGCAAACTGGCCCATAAAACAAAGATGTTGATAGTGTTAATCATTAGGTGTTAGCTGCAGGTGGGCAGTAAACAATTTAGTGTGATTTGTCCCACTCATACTCTCTATATTGTGAGAACAATTCAGTGGAGGAAGCAATCCTGGAATTCAATAGAGTTTATGCTTTCAAAGTTTCATATAGATCAGTGGATTTTCAGCTGGGAAATATGCATGTGTTAAAGGGTATGGGGGTTCTTCTATTTGCTTTAGGGTTTGGTTTGTTTTTAATGCCAGTGTGGTGCAGGTGAAATAGAAAAAAAAAAAACCTCATACAGTACATGTAGTATAGTAGTGACTGTCTATACAGCTGAAAGAATAATTATTATAAGGGCATGCAAAACAATATTACTTTTAAAATATTCATTTATTTGTGAAGTGCAAATGATGTAAGCAGGTTAAAGCAATTACATTTCCAATTATTTGCTGTCTCTTGGCTAATAGCCATTGCATACCTTCTTAGTAATTTTATTTCTTTTTAATTAGTAGCTTTCTTTGTAGGCAAGAATGTTCAAAAAAAACCAAGTCAGTAGCAGATCATGCAGCAGTAAAACCTCAAATAGAATCAGATCCAAAGAATCCCTTTTGGCTTCACACAATATGGTAAAATTAGAGATTGCAGGAAACCAAAAAAATTAAACTGGGAACATTTGAAAAGAAATGACCAGGCTTTATGAAAATGACGCACTGACTGGCCAGTGTGTTTTTTTTATCGACAATTTCTTTGTTGAGGCATAGATCAAAGAAACCTGCATATGTTTTCATTTTGTTCTAAGTCTAACTAGAAAATTACATCCAGATGTTTAATAGGCATTCTGTTGGTTTTCTGCATTGATTAGATATGTTGGTACTGTTTGCTTACAAGTGTAGCCGGATCATTAGCTAATGCAAAGAAATGTTTGTAGCGAGTTGCTAATTAGGTCTTTTGGAAACTCTC